GGGGGTTGGATGTAAAATTTAATACATACAGTGGGGGGCATTACTTTTTCATTCCTTTTTGCAAACTGGAAAAGTAGTGGAAGAGTTATTATATTGATTTTCACCATAACCCTAAGTGGGTCTAGGGCCAGGGAAGAGTTATTAGAGTTTAGATATAAATACTAGCACTCGAATAAAACTGACAAATTTATGGACTCAACTCTAGGTTGTTCTGATCTATGAACTGCTGTTATTTCAATATAATTTAGGTCCTCAAACCTTTTGCTCCTAATTCTTCTTACATAATCACAGTTTTAACCAAAGTTATCTGACAATTTACATAGGCAGGATACATTATGATTCAAAACAGCTAGCTGTGTACAAGTGTTTTTTATTAGTTGTAAGCTCGAACATCACGCTATACATCATTCAGTTTTCGACAAAATTCCGAATTGATGATTCAATTCTATTGGAATGTCATGCCTACAAGCGTTTTTAACATATGGGCGTAAGATTTTTGCTAGGAGTGTGGGAAATTTTGAAGAATGCCCGGCCATACCCGAAGACTTCCGAAGATTTCTAGTCACACTCTCAATATTTCCAAGAGACGTTTCACAACATATTTCCCAGGGACTTTCATTTTCCCTCTCCCTGGAATTTCTCTCTCTCTCTCTCTTTCGTTCTCGGGTGCGGGAAGAGAAGTGTACCATCATTTTCCTGAAGTTCTCCTTTCTTGCATTTATTTCAAGGTGATATATATTTTTTGAAGGTGTGTCAGATCAGGCCATAATAGCTCACATTTTTCATATTGGCCCCATATAGGCTTGAGTAGGGGTGGGATTAAAATTTTCGACCTTCGCAGGAATGAGAGGTGGAAGTTATAACATGTATGTCTAGGATTTGATAAGTAACAGTCACTCAAATCTACTATTGAAGATAATCTCGATATATCAGTATGGAAATGTATTTAGGCTCAGATGCCTCCTTAAATGGCTGCCACTTGCACATTCTTTTCTAAGTATTAACATTGGCCTGACACACCTCGGTTTTTTAGTTGATAATTCGCAAGAGTATTTAACGAGTTTAGTGAGGCTAANATTTGATGATTCAATTCTACTGGAATGTCATGCCTACAAGCGTTTTTAACATATGGGCGTAAGATTTTTCCTGGGAGTGTGGGAAATTTTGAAGAATGCCCGGCCATACCCGAAGACTTCGAAGATTTCTAGTCACATTCCCAATATTTCCAAGAGACGTTTCACAACATATTTCCCAGGGACTTTCATTTTCCCTCTCCCTGGAGTTTCTCTCTCTCTCTCTTTCGTTCTCGGGTGCGGGAAGAGAAATGTACAATCATTTTCCTGAACTTCTCCTTTCTTGCATTTATTTCAAATTGATATATATTTTTTGAAGGTGTGTCAGTTCAGGCTATAATAGCTCACATTTTTCATATTGGCCCCATATAGGCTTAAGTAGGGGTGGGATTAAAGTTTTCGACCTTAACAGGAATGAGAGGTGGTAGTTATAACATGTATGTCTAGGATTTGATTGTTTGTTACTCAGGTAAGTGATTTTCACATAAATAACAGTCACTCAAATCAGCTATGCAGGATAATCTCAATATATCAGTATGGAAATGTATTTAGGCTCAGATGCCTCCTTAAATGGCT